TGTGTGTGTGTGTGTGTGTGTGTGTGTGTGTGTGTGTGTGTGTGTGTATATAAGGAAATGGAGAGGTTGCTGAGTATACATATACATTATTTATACGTGTATACAATATTTATGATTCATGAATATCTGTGAATTTGTTACTCCTGTTTCATTGTTTTACTCCTTGTTTTTTTTTTCTCTTTACTCTGTCTTGTTGCTGCTGTGGCATCTGAGTTTATCAATTGTACAATAAATAAAGTCCTGTCTTATGTTGGTTTGAGAAAAGCAGGTGTGAAATTTCACATTCAAACAGCAGAACAATTACCTCAGGAAAGGAAGAATAGCAATATCTGGTGATCTGTTTGGTTCTCCTGTGTCAGATCTTCTTCCCAAATCCACAAGAGAATTAAACCTCCAGTTACTAACTGAGTTTCGTGTTGGGATCCAGCAACAGCTAGCTGCCCTGATATGTAAGAAAGACAGAACAATATATTTACTGGCATAAAAATATTTTCAGCAGATGGTAAAAGCTGGTATAATGTTCTACAAGTTTTATTCAACAGTTAAATAACAAAAGTCTGCATTCTTAAGAAAAAATTGCCCACCTTAGCTCAAATGGTTTGTCACTATAGAGCTTCCATGTCTCCAGATTTTCTGTTTCACACCACTCTCTGTTGGACAGTGGTGCATTGGTGCTAAAGTCAATTGTATTTATAGATCTACTGAATGGGGTGCCACAGTTGCCAGTGTAGCAGTACCAGTAGTGGTAGTTCTGGCAACCATCATACGTGTCCCTGGCTCGAAGGGCTACCTGTGAAGGGAATAAGGAGGATTTATGTGAAAGCAGAGTAAAAGTTCCTGACACATTCCAACAAAGTTAAGTCAGGTCCTCTGGACAGTTTCTTTTTGTTGAAACGTTTAGTCTTTCATCCAAAAGACTTCACCAGTCTGAGGAGCCACAACAAACTCAGTCTTATAAGTGCTGCACATATTGCTCTGTGATCAATTGCTTAGGATTACTGATCATTGTTCTGTGCTTGGATGGATGCAGCATGGTGGCGCAGTTGGTAGAGCTGCTGCCTCTCAGCGAGCAGGTTACCCTGGTTCAAATCCCGGTCCAGGGGCCTTTCTGGGTGGAGTTTGCATGTTCTCTCTGTGCTGCGTGGGTTTTCTCCGAGTAGGCCCTACTCTGGTTTCCTCCCACAGACCAAAAACATGCATGCTAGGCTGATTGGTAACTCTAAATTGTCCCTAGGTATGAGTGAGAGTGAATGGTTGTTTGTCTCGTTTCTCTCTATGTGTCCCTGTGATGGACTGGAGACCTGTCTAGGGTGTCCCCCTCTCGCACAGTGACTGCTGGATACGGGCACCAGTAAACGCTGCCACCCAAAAAGGAAAAAGCGGGTAAAAGAATGGTCTGTGCCTAATGGGTAATGCCTCATATGTCCAGAAGGGGGAACACACGGTTGTTTTCTTCATTTACCATACAGCAAGTGAAGGTAACACACTGTCATTTCTCACTTTTCTTCTTTTTAAAGTAATGATTTGATCAGAATATATGATTATATGTTGTACTACTTTGCTAAATGGGCAGCTGTGGCTGAGTGGTTAGAGCAATCGTCCTCCAATGCAAGAGTTGGGAGTTCAAATCCACCAGTAGGCGCATGCTCAAGTATCCCTGGGCAAGACACTGAACCACTCATTGCCTCCGATGTGTATCCTATCGGTGTATGAATGTGATAAAGCTCTGATTAGTGTCTTTAGAATCATTTGTTCAATTAGCTTTGTAGAGAAATAGTAGAGTGTTGTGTAAATTAGGGCACAGATTGTAGTGTAAAGCACTTCGAGTGTCTTGATAAGATAGAAAAGTGCTATATAAGTACAGTCCATTTAAATATATCTAACTCAGTTTTACTGATTCATAATGTTAGCTTATAACGTTCTTTGTTTTATTTGTGTCGACAACATGAAGTGACAGGTGTATGCTCTAGCTTCTTAGCTGCAGAAGCTCATGCGGAGCTCACACGATTAGCCGAACTTCTGTCACGTTTGGCATTAACCAGCTACGTTTGTGTGTTAACTGTGATATGCATGTTTGTTCTTATTTTCTTATTGCTTTTATTTACTTGTAGTGAGGCAGGGACAGCTTTTCTGTAGCTTCACTACTAATTAATTATTCTTAAAGCTAGGTCAAGCACAAAGAATATTAATTATTTAAATACAACGGATTCTTTTTTTTTCGAGTTAAATTAATGCCATGTGACCGAGATAACTGTGAGGATTGTTTAATCAGTGACATGAGACGCCATTTTTCTTTGACCCATCAGAATAAATGCAGTCATTTATTTAACAGAATCAAAATTTAACATCAAGACATGTACACATTGATTTGCTGATCTGTTTCTGATTAATAAAAACTTGGCACACTTTACTAACAAGACAACAGAACATTACTGATTGAGGCATCTAGATTACTGGCAAATAGAAAAGTTTTAAGGGAAGGAAGGAGAAGTTTAAAAGGAAGGTGGATGAAGGAAGATGTATGTTTTGTTGACCAGAATTAGCACGCTTTTTTCAACACCAGCTCAAACCCCCGGTACACTTCAGGACGTGCAGAGACTTTGTTACCTTAGGCAGGGGCTACCTCCACTCCGGAACAGAAGTCCATTAGTACGATCCCTTTACAGCGTCTCCGGTCAGTGTGGCTGGTCATCGTCAGAAGTCGTGCGGTTTACTCCGTTAAACAGAACAAGCTTCCTTCGAAGTTGTAGGGCGATACACCCGGGTGAGTTCACAGCGAGGCGCTGTGACTCCAGCTGGGATAGATGGACCCTCGTCTCACAGTCAAATCCATCAGCTATTGATTAAATCTGAAAGTTCCTTAAGAATTCTCAGGAAGACTTCAGTCAGAGATTCCACTCAGAAGTGGAAGACTCAATGAAAGCCTGAGCAAGACTCCAGGAAGACTCCGGTCAAAGACTGCAGAAGACTGAAGACTGCCTAGTTCCAGGAAGTGTTGACTTTTTAAAGAGTCCCCACTTCCGGTCACTTGATACTTCCTGACTGGTTGAAACAACCAACAGGGGGTTGTTTCAGTGATGTCAGAGGGTTATTAAAAGTCAAGAGAGGGCAGGAATGTTTAGGAACGTTTAGTACAGACAGGGAAATGTTTTGAAGAAGTGAGAAACTTTGCAGGTGCTAGTTGCTTCTTATTTACCGTCTGCTAGGTTTAAAAACAAGACACTTCGTTCTAATAACTCGTCTCTGACTTTCTCTGACTTTCGACCGACATGACTACTCCTCATTCAGACAGAAGATCAAAATGCATAATTACTTTGTAAATATACATTTAAAATGATTCCTAAGTCTAATGAGGTTTAAAAATCATTAATACTGTTTCACAGTTGATTTAAAATGAGTGGTTCACTTCAACATTTAGAAATGGTATGAACTAAACACACTTTGATTATCAAGATATTCTAAAATAGTAATGATAATGTAAAAAGAAGAGTGTTCTTTCAATTGATTAATTCAGGATACAATAAAATAGTCTCTTGATGAGCTAATTTGTATTTCAGGATTCAAATCAATGAAATAACAGTTCCTGTCCCATGAAGGTCTTCAGAGACAGATTGTTGTCGGAGGCCTAGTTCACTACAGTCCCCCCTTTGGAAATCATCGCCTGTCCATGGGGATGAATTCCAACATGAACTTACGCCTTTGAATGTCCTTGATCTTGATGTAATCCAGCAAGAGGAAAACAAAAGTCAAAGAAGGTAATCCCACAACGGTTTAGGTAATTCCACAATGTTGTTGGTAATTCCATAATGTTGTTGGTAATTCCATTGTAGCAATGCTTTAACCCCTTGGAAACAAAGTCTGTAATCCATTGGAAAAAGTCATATAATCCACAAAGATAAATCCACAACGATTGGAGGTGTTGATTGATCAGCATGCAGAGGGGTTCCCTTGATTGAACTGCAGAGGCGACCACTGGATGGAGATTGGAGACCCACGTTGGAGTTGTAGGTCCCTTCAGCGAAGGTTGCTGCTGGTGGTTCCCAGTGGGTGCCATTCTGGTTCTATGTGATATGCATTTAAGTGGTTTTAGTTGGGTTTATGAGTGGGATTTTACATAAGACCTTAACCTATATGCAACTGGTGTGTAAGTTATCATGGTTTAGTTTAGCTACAGTTACCAATTAAAGGGTAGGTCATGCTGAAAAATTATATATAGGGATTCATACCTATAGAAGGGCTGTCCAAACTATTTTTCCATTCCTAACTTGGTTTAAGTTAGATTTACATGGCAAAATATAGTTTGGTTCGTCTGTTGTCCCTTTAGACGAACAACTTGAGGTTTGGTTTTTTGGTTTCCCCCCTAAATGTTTTTGGAGTCTATGGCGAGACTCAAC